GGTGCTACACACCTTGGAACAAGAGCAGATACAACTCTTAAGGGGTCAGAAATATTTATACAGTCAAATGGAGTCAGTGTCACTGGTTTTAAGACTGTTTATTTCACCCTACAACAGTCTCCTGTTGTACAACATGACACTTGTAGTGTTCTTAGTCCCCAGGCCTCAATCAAATAAGTGCATTTTTATCACATTCCTGTAACTTCTCCCCAGTCATTTATTCATGTGATCAATTCCTGTGTCCCTCAAATCATTTATGTAGGAAAAAAACACAACCTCTTCTGCCAGACTAAAAAAGACAGACTAGTTGGAGACAAAAGGTGATTCTGTCCCTCAGCACTGGAAAGACATGAGCTGTTGGAGGGGGTCCAGAGAAGGGCCATGAAGATGATCAAAGGGCTGGAGCAGCTCTGCTATGAAGGCAGGCTGAGGGACCTGGGGCTGTTCAGCCTGGAGAAAAGACTCCAGGGAGACCTCATAGCACCTTCCGGTACCTGAAGGGGCTACAGGAAAGCTGGGGAGGAGCTTTTCACCAGAGAGGGCAGTGATAGGACAAGGGGTAATGGTTTTAAACTGAGAGAGGGGAGATTTAGGTTAGACATCAGGAAGAAATTCTTCACCATGAGGATAGGAAGGTGCTGGAATAGGTTGCCCAGGGAGATTGTTGATGTCCCCTCCCTGGAGGTGTTCAAGGTCAGGTTGGATGAGGCTTGTGCAGCCTGGTCTGGTGGGAGGTGTCTCTGCTCATGGCAGATGATCTTTAAGGTCCCTTCCAACCTTAACCATTCTCTGATTCTTTGCAAATAACAGATCACCAGTGCCTTAAACACAACCAATACCTGGAGAAATATAGGACAATGCAGCAGAAACCAGCCCCAAAGCCTTGTGAGCCCAGTCCTCTGCATCCATCCCTTGCTGTGAGGCTGCAGCCACCTTCACCACCACAGAGCTGCTGGTTCTGATGAGCCACCGTTAACCTCCCCAGCTCGATTCAATGTGACAGTGACACTTCACAGCACATTGCACCCAATCTCATTTGAAGCTGACAAAGATTGTTTCTGTTTTATATCTATTGGTTTATTAATGGCCTACAGCCTCTTAAGCAGATGCATATTCATTAGATAGCCAGCTGTTAGGAGGTTCCCAGATGTCGAAAGTAGCTGTCTTGGAATGCTTTTCCTCCCCCACCCCTTATCATGAAACAAAGTAATTGTAGCTCTATTAAAGAACCAGTTAATTACTGAACCAGTACCTTATGGCATGATTTAAAAAAATTTAAAAATCTGCAAATTTGTGAGGTGTAAAGACATTCTTGAAAACAGAGATGAGCTGAGCCTTTGCTGTGAGGTACTCACAGACCTTGCATTGATGCAGAGGCCTGGATGACACCACGTAAACACCCCACAAGCTGCAGACATTCAGGTACACACTAAGTTCTGCAAAGGCACCTTTCTTTATGTTCCACATTTTGCAGAATTTCTCTCTTACCTCTTATCCTTCCTTACCTGGATAGTGGATGCAGAAGCACATATAAAATGAAAATGAGACATCTCATTTTTTAGAGGTCGTTTCCTTCTGCAGCATCCCGGCTGGATAAAACTGTAACCAGATCATTGAACAATCTGTACAGATTGACTTACAAATTCCACAGGCCGTCCTTTTCAGTCTCACAACATTAACCAGGCTCACCTAGTTGTCTTTGCAACTTACTGTTTTTTCCTTTCTTCTCTCTTCCCCCAAAGCACTAAAAACAGTTCCCAAAACACAGGTCTTGGCAATATGACTGCAACAATAACCATCCTCCCACCACCCCCAGGAAGCCCTTCTCCCACTGAAGTGTTTAAAGTCTTAAAGTCAGCTCCAAAACCAAGTGGCTGGGGGAAAAAGGTGCATGATGATTCTCTGTAGTGCACAGCCATTCACTCTCTTTTCCCACCACAACAGCCTTGGAGGAGCAGAAAGCAGAGCACTGCTTTCTCCCCAAGGAGGAGTTGCCCTTCAATTACCAACACAGGAAAGGCAATTGCTGTTCCCAGGCTGCAGGCAGAGCTCCTGGATGGGAAAGTTGGAAGCATACAGGTATTCAGTATTTAGCTTCCTATTCCTGCTTCTTTTTTTTGCCAGTCAAATCCATCAGCAAGTACCTGGAGCTGTTCCAACACTGACAGTTTTTAGCATTAACCAACAAAAAGTTTCCTTTGCAGTCAAATTAAGTATTTCACTTAAAACAAAGGGTTTAAATGTGGGTACAAACCCAACAGGTTTGCCTGTAACAATTTGCAATTTTAGTCAGTGATAGCTCAGAATAAAACTTAAGAAATTAAATAAACAAACCACATCTCCCTTGAAAGCTTTAATCAGAACCAACGGATGGTACCATAAAGTGTCATGTGCTATAAAAGTGTTTACAGTCATGCACAGAAGAATGTGGAGGCAATTTTGTAGCCTGACTCCAGGAGCAAAGGCCTCTGAGAATAAAAGTGTCTTTAGGTATTTGTTATCCTGTTATAGTTGGTATCACCTTGAGTATACAATGCCTGCCTGCATTATGTAAACACTTCATTGATAAGTCCCTCTCCCCCCCCTCCCTTCAGCTGTGTCAGACTGTTCTTAGCTGACAGATACAGCTGGAACAGATGCTGCTATAAATACCCTTGTTTAGGTGTTTTGAATATAATTTCTTTTGTAGAACATGGTGGATGCTCTAGTTATCACTGCACTTGCACCTGTGCTGGAATCTATGACTCCTTTGTACACATCAGGATGCATTTTTTGAATGATTCCATAAATACACACAGGGATGGATTCTGATGTCCCTCGGTCCTCTTCTCAAGTACACACATCCTTTATAAAGGATTTCACTAATTTTAACTTAACTCTTAATAAGTTTGGAAGCTGCAGGATACAGAGGTGATAAAGTTTTCCTCTTATGACCAGACAAACAGTTAATTCCCTCTATTTACTCCCTGCAGGCTCCAAACTCTCACGCCAGTTGCTGTTTTTCAGCACGGTATGAAAAGGCCACACAGCTCTGTCGTCGCAAGTCTACAGTCTGGGGCTTTAAACCTTGGGCACTTTGGACACTACTGTGGTAATTAAACACACTTTTTTTAGGGGATGTAGAGTACAACTTGTGAATATCTGGAAGAAGAGCAAGGAATTCAGATTTGTGCAGAGGGGCAGCTGGGGAAGGCCCAATTCCTACCAGTATGATAGCACCGTGTGGCTAAGTGCTACAGAGCTCACAGTCAGCCAGAGCCTGGCTTCTGGAGAGCCTGCAGGTTTGAAAATGAGGAAAGGAGTTGTACTAACAAACATAACAGCACAATTTAGGGTATATTATGCAGCAGCTGATACATGGTTTATCTGTCATAATTCATACAGTAGCTCATTTGTATTTTTACCTGGAAAGATAATTTCTAATATATTCATTTTGCTTGTATCTGAACAATCAGAGATGGAAACATCAGGATATCCATCTTAAGTTCAATGCTGTTTTAAGCAAATCCAACCTATTTTATATGCAGTTTGTATCTAAAGAGGTAAACCATATTTAACTGGGGAGAGGATGGGATAAAACTTACATGCAACAGGCTCTCATCACTGCAGGGTGAAGATGCATCAGGGTGTACCTGGCCCACCTTCTAAAGGAATCTTTCTGGGTGTCTTTTTCTTAAGTTTACTTTGGTTCCAAGAACTTCCTTCTCATCCACCTGCAGACAATCTGGCTGGCGGAAAGAGACTTCACACTCCATAAAATCTTCTCCATAATTTGGATACTGTTCCACAAGATGAACAACGTATGGTAGGGGCAGTGAATCATAGGAGTTGGAAAGGACCTCTAAAGATCGAGTCCAACCCCCCTGCCAGAGCAGGATCACCCAGGGCAGAGCACACAGCAACAAATCCAGATGGGTCCTGAAAGTCTCCAGAGAAGGAGACTCCACAACCTCTTTGGGCAGCCTGTCCCAGTGCTCAATCACCCTCCCAGTAAAGAAGTTTCTCCTTATGTTGAGGTGGAACTCCTGTGTTGTAGCTTGGTACCATTTCCTTGTTACAACTGCTCCCCAAGCCTGTGCTCCCTAAGGCATAATGGACACAACCACAAAGATCCTTACCAAACTGACCAAATGGAGTTTCCACTTGAGTTATTCTAACCCCTCACAAATGTGCTTCATTATCATTAACCTCCTTTTAGAAGCTCAGTCACTGGTTCCCCCGAAGAGATGTGAACAACCTGAACAAGGACACGATCCTTCAGCTCAAAGCCAGCTATCTAGCCAGCTCACCTGACCCTACAAGGACACCACCTGTGAGCAGAAAACCCCCTCAGAAAACCTTCTGGAGTGAGAGGAGCACTGCACCCCTCAAGCCCTACAAAAGCAGCACTGACTCCAGGCTCAGTTTTTGTGCCACCCACCTACTGCCCCAGGAACTCGCCATCTTCCCACCACAATTTGGCACAGATTGAACCAGTTTGCATCTTCCCCTCTGTCAGAACTCAGGGTTTTGAAGATGATTATTCCAAATCAGTGTAAAGATTTCAGAAAAGGAACCAGAGTGATCTCTCCTACTCAGCTGTTCAAGCCTGCCTTGATTACTTTGATGTAACAACACTTGAAAGCTCCTATTCTTTGAAACTAATTTAAACACATTGAATTGTTGAAAGATTAAAAACCGCAGTCAGCTAATTACACTCACTCTCATCTCTTATTCAGCAAATGAATCACTTTTCATTACCACTTAGCTGAAGTACATGAATTTCTGCCTAATTAGAAATGTTGTAGATGGAGCATTAGCAAGGCTGGAGCGGGTCAGGATATCTTGCCTGCTTCATTTTTAATTCCTAACAGTAGAGCTAGATAGGAAAGGCTTCAGATAAGAAGTCATTAAACAATTTTAAATTATTTATAAAAATTACTTTGCCCAAATTATAATTATTTTTTTTCCCAAATGCTCTCATAAACGTCAAATGGAATGAAAGGAAAAGCAGCCCAACATTGATTTTAACGAACATTTTAATGTTATGTATAACAGAACATTATGAATACAATGGAAACAAAGTTTTATCAATGTAATAATAAAAAAGAAATCCAACATAAGAAAAGGGAGGCAATAAATTTCATACCTATAGTATAGTGCTTATTCTTAACAATATTCTCAGATTGTGAATATAACAGTATCTTTGTATTCCAGATTCTAGAATCATGATTCATGTCAACTTAAATGCAGAATTACAGAAGGAAAAGCAAAAATTCCCAAAATCTTAATTCATTCTTTTGTTTTCAGTAAATCAGTAAAATCTTTGACTGCTACAGGTTTCCTTTATTAATATATATTTTTTTTTTTTACTCCTCTATTGGATTCCACAGTTGCTAATGCCATATTTACACAAAAGAATCACCAAATGTATAAAAGCTAAGATCCAATGCTGTTTGATTAGGTAGGGTTATTGATTTACAGAACTTAAGTGTAAATCACCTTGTTACTGTTTTGTGATGAAGCAAAAAAAAGAAGATTTTTGCCTTTTGACTGCTGCCAATGCCATGAACCAGAGGCTCCAAAGGGATGGTGGTGGTACATAGGATGCTGCTAACTGCCACTGGGAAAGAACTGCAAGAAAGTGCATTTTCTGCAAGGAAACCTTCCAGCAGTCTTGGATGAAGCTTCTCCCAGACCTGCACTGGGTATCAGTTACAACAACAGAACCATGTTATGACCCCAAAAATCTGCTGATCACCAAATTGCTGAGAGAGGTTTTTTTTACAATAAAAATTTGGGTAATATAGCAGTGTGGCTGGAATATTAGCAAAAGTATATATACATTCCAGGTCCCTTTGAATTAGCCATAATCACATATGTAAGCCATTTTTTGACAAAAATATATATTCTTATAAAAAACTGATCATAGTACTTGAGTGACTTCAATTGTGAAAGCAGTGGTACTAAAAGGAATGATCCAATTATGACAAAGTGATCAGGGAGAGGGGGGAAAGAAAGTCAAGCTTTTTAAGAAAAAAAGAAAAGTATAAAATTAGATTCAAACATTTTTACCCAACCCCCATTCCAGTCTTCCATCAAATCTCAAAGTTAAAATTTGTTCTTCTACATAGGAAAGGTTTTTTGATGGTCTCGGTACAAATTATTTTGCAAAATCATCTAACACATTCCTTAGAAGAACCTTCCACCTCTCCAGAATTTGAACAGTAGTTATTTCAACATTTAGAAAATAGCTTTTGGTTCTTTATGTAGACACTTGAACTGATAAAGAAAAAAAAAAAAAAGTATTGATCACTGTTTTCCATCTTCCCCAGCTATATCTGTGCAGCTAAAAATCCTTCATTCAGCCTGCCCATTTATTTTATCTTTATTTAATTTCATTTATTTATTTTACAATCTTTATTTGCTAAAATTGGCAAAATTTGCAAAGGCATCTTGCTTGGGTTGTACAGTCCCAGGAGTCAGAGTGGTCATAGGTAAGCCCATTCCTATTGTGCCCGTCAAGCCCATTCCTGTAGCTGGCACTCCTACGTTCATGTTCATTCCCATCATTCCCTGGTTCATCATAGGCATGGGTCCCATGGAGGTCATTCCCATCGTACCTGACATCACAGTGGGCATTCCCATCCCCACAGGAACAGGCCCTCCCATCAGTGGGCTTGTCTGGGGTCGAACAGGCATCATGTTAGGCTGAGGATTGAGGTTCACGGCTGCAAAGTTTTGAGTCATGACATTCAGAGGTTGTTGAGTATCTGCAAAAAAGAGAAAAGAATGCAAAAATCATGAACCAGAACCTGATGCTGAAGGTGCTTGTGTGTTTTAAGAACCATAAGTGGTAACTACTGCAAAGACATGATGGCCAAACTTGCAGCTATTTTGCTTGCTTTCCTGTTCTGTGTGAAGCTCCAAATACTTAGAAAAGTTAAAAATTTCATTTTATACCAATAAATTCTACTGTGCATATTGTAGAGAAGCTCTAGAGATCAGAGCTCTAGATCTGATCTAGATACAGCAGATACAGCATTGGTGCAAACTCTACAGTAGAAACATGCACAGATACCAGCCTCTAGCACATCTGTCTCCATTTAGAAAACACCACTTATGTCAGAATCATCTCAGCAGTTTAAGAACCAATCATGACTACACGTAGGAAAACAGTAATGGAGAGAACACTCCATCTCCAGGACAACCTACTGAACAGATACAGGGCTCAGTGCACATGCAAAATGGTGCAATCATCACTTACTTTGTTGCTGCATCATGGTGTTAAGTGATGGCTGCTGGGGTTTGGAAGGCTGCATCCCAGGTACTAAATTGTCCAAACTGATATTTACACTAGGATCTGACCAAGTTGAGGGTAGAGTTTTGTTTGCATTCTTCTGGACCATCTCTGTGCTTGCATTATACAGTGGATTGGGCTTGGGCATCATATTGTTTGCCATCTGCAGAGGCTGAAAAAGACAAGTTTGTTGAGATCCACTTGAAATTATTTACCAATAGACATCATGACTTAACAAGTGTTAATTTTTCTACAGAATACAATTAAAAGCCAGTAAGACTTTTAGCCATGAACTTCAACTCTTCCAAAGCAGTGTTGCCACATGCTGTTCTGCCATGGGTTAAAGGGTATTTTGTTGGGCTGGTATCACACTCCCATATCAATATGTGGAATGAGAGTGATCATCTGCAGTCAAGTTTTGAACTCTTGATTTTTTCCTCCTAATTGACCTATGAAAAATTCCAAAAAACACTCTCCACTGAAGCAGGCACATCTGTGTTTTGGACAATGGACCAGTACTCACTGCCATCTACCTGAGGCTGGAAACCTATAGCCATCCTCTACATATAATGTTATGAGTATCACCTTGTCTTCCCCAACAAGCAGCAACACTTCACAGAACAATTGAGATCACCTCAGAGCAGATAAGCTTATTAAAGGAGGGTTTTAAAGAAAATTTGACATGTTTTCCTTTTAAGAGGCTATGCAAAGATTTTTGGACAAAGCTTTCTTACAAAATGCTGATCACAACATCTGAGTGACTAAGTGTGGACTCCAGGAGTTAATTTTCAAAGTTGTGATTAAAGAGAAGGCAAAGGACTAATTGAGGAAGGTCATTAGCAAACCAAATAAATAGCAGCATACCTGTGACCTTGACATGGGTAAACTGATGCCCACAGCATTGGAGGTCATCATAGAGAAATTCATACTTTGTGAAGAGGTCATGGTTGTCTGAGAAGGGCCCATCAAATCAAAAAGATCAGTAGAATTTGAAGCAGCTGGAGGCTGGCCAGGAGCTGGCTGTGAGCTACTGAAGAGCTCTATGGCAGGCTGTGGGGCTGTGCTGCTGAAGAGGTCTCCAGATGAAGCACTGGGACAAGGAGAAGCTTGGTTGAAGGCACTCCAGTCACCAAAGTCTCCATTTCCACTTGTTGCTGTACCTGAAGAAAATGCAGCAATGTGGGAGGAAGGAAGACAGAAGAAAGACAGAAGACTTAGAGAAAGGCACTGAGCAAATGCCATATTCCATGAACTGAAACAAATGAGAGCTGATCTGTGTCCGTCCAGATTAACATCTGCAGGTAGAACCTCCATCTGGACATCATTCCCTCTCATGAATATTCCAGCAATTTTAACAAGGTAGCAAAGGAAATATGAAACACCCATCCACAGAAAGAAGGATGTTTGATAACAGCACCTGTGGATGTGAGACCAGTAGGCACACGTTTTCTTAGGTGAAATATGACTGAAAGATAACTTAGGAGTAGACTGGAGGCTTTAGTCAAAACAACACCTAATACTTTGATAATATTAATCAACTTTTTATTTCAGTGCTCTGGTATTTTCTGAGAGAACAGTTGTCAGTAATGAGCCACTTGATAAAGCACATTCCATTATGATAAACTAAAGACAACTACTTCAACATGTTTATGGACAATTAGGAGCCCTTTGTATAAAACAATGCTGAGTGGAATAAGAACCAGAACTTTGAAAGCAGCTTGACAGGGAAATCTTACTTGAGGTGATAAGTGCTCATGTAAAACTGAGTCTTCTAAATGTGATTCCTGAACTAAATGCCTTGGCTTGAAGCAGAAGTTCAATCTTGGACCTAACAACTCTCTTGGCAGAAACTTTGCTGAACTCTTAGTTCATCACTTAAACTGCATTTCATTTCAATATACCAGGGGTTTTGTAGACAAGCATATAAATTGAAACAACAACTTAGACCATGCTCTGTATCTTGCTGTGAAGAGCCTAACAGTATCAAGTATTTGTAGACAACTGCAAGGGTACCTTATTTCAGGAGCACAGATGTCCAGAAACACAAACTAGTGAACTGAGAATATGCTATAAACTTTGAGTCAGATGGGATATGTTATCTACCCTAAAACCACATGTTTTTGTATTATCAAGAAAAGGGTTACTTCACAGGAGTGATAGGGGAAGAAAAGCTTAAAGCAAACATCTACAGGAGGTGCTAAAAATAAAGCAACACCGCTTAAACAGCTCTCATTGTTACATGGTGAATCTTGTTCCAAGTTTGGGCCGTTGTGCAGGTCAGCTTTTTGATTATGTCACTGACACACTTGAGGTACTTCAGCAGGGTCATGAGCAGTGTCATTGCCATGTGAAATGAACTTTGGGTTCTAACCAACAGTTACATTCTCCCTTGAATTTCTTCAGATGAGCAAATACTCAAACACATAACGCTGGGGTAGGTGAATCTATTGCCAGTTTCCACTCCCTAACCATCCATAGCAATTTTCTATGACTTTTTGCTCCCCAGTCAAAAGGTGACTGCAGTACCTTTTGTATCCAACCTACCACTCTGTAAAAAGTACCAACTTTTACACTCCATGTAAATATTTATCAACATACACCTCCAGCTTTTAGTCATTTTCACCTTTACTAATACAGTAGAATTTAAAGAACAGTAGGAGAGTAAACGTTCACAAAATCCATGCACTGCCAACAACCTCAGTGCATGAACAGATATTCATTAGCTCAGGGCCTTATGAGAACATTTGCTTTGATCTCCCTCACAAAGAGGCTATATTAGAATGTTTCAATTAGTATTACATATTAAAAATTAAAACCTACTTTAAATATTCCTGATAGATAAGTAAATGCTGAGTGTGCTGCTTCTATGTTCAGACCTGTACACTGAGCACCAATAATGGAAGTGGGGGTAAAAGGGATAAGGTTTTGCCCCTTCAGTAGAACTTCAAAGATTATTAATCAAGAAGGAAAGGATTTCTAGAGGAGCTTATGCTGTTCAGGAATGATTAATCATTTCACAGGACCCCCTGTCCCTTGCATAATGGTGATTGGAATAGATTAATCATGTTAATGCAGATAAAGGATTGTATCAATTTAGACTGTATTAACACAAATTATTTGCATAGTAGGCAGCTTTGTGTTTGCAAAACAACTTGGTTTTGACTGAGAAAGCCTATAAAAAATTAGAGCAGCTCTTTCCTGCCAACCAAATAAAAGGTATATTAACTAATCTATGCCCAGCATGGTTTTCCTAACTGCAGAATAAAGGAAGAGATAATAAACATGCTGACTAAAAGCTGGCTCACAAGTAGTTTTGCTGATCAACCTCTTTGCCGTTCTTTTCTCATTCTTGACTTAATCCTACATCCTTGCTGAGAACCCCCAGCCACAAGCACCACTACTGCCCAAACTAACTGCATGGAAGCCAGCCAGCCAGCTCCTTCCACTCCAGCAATGTCCTATCCGGGTAGCTCTGTAGGCTCCCAAAAACACTCCACCAGAAGAAAGTGTTTTTCAGATGGTGGCCCTGTGTACATACTAGCTTGTATGTTGATAACTCCTACTAACATTTTTCTGAAATAAAGTTCTGAAAAGTTTCAGGTCTGGTGAGACATGTGCTATGCCAGAGAGCAGCTATCTTCTTCCTTATTCAAGATACCACAGTTAAATAAACATTCCCCTGGAAAGGGAAATGACTCTCAAAAACCCCATGTGACATCTCTTCCCCTCCTTCTGCCCTTAAACAGCATTTCAATCTGTAAATTAATCCTACCTTGCGATGACGGGAAACTTGCTGAAGCAGCAGCTGAACTAAAATCAGCAAATCCTCCAAATGGGTCAGTTGATCCACCTAGAAACAGAAGGAACTGCTGTTACAGGATTGTGCAAAGATCCACTGCAACAACTGCGTGTGGGATTTATGAAGAAAACCTGTTCTGTATGTGGGAAGATGGATTTATGGATTCTACTCCCTAACTTGGCACTGGTTTTCTTGTCCATCACCATACTCTATTTATACAAGCCTGAGAAACAATAAACTGGATTACTTCCAACTGTCTTGCAGAGCCTGCAATTTTGTTTTCCTAGGGAAGAACTAAAAGATGCAAGTGTTTACCATCTCTAAAAATAAATTTAGAGAGATTAAAAAGGCTAAGAAGGCTTTAACAACTGAAAGATGCTACTAGTTTGGCCGTTAGTAAAATTAAAGCGTAACTTCTTAAGCAATAAAGTATAATATATAAAAGGCAAACTTTCTTCTTGCAAAAAGTTAATGTATTATGCTTACCATGAAAAATTACATGTCGCCTTATATTTAGTTTTTGTGTTACTTAAAGCATGAATGATTCTGCAATGTTCGTGAATTGGGATTTCAAGGACAGAGCTTGCATTTCTGTTCATTTTTTTATAAGTTTGCTTCCTTTCTAGAGCAGGAACATTAAGTTTTCCAACCAGAAGTTTGTATACAGCACATAAATTATTAACTTCTGAATAGAGCACAGTAATAATTTTTCACTAAAAAAATACAGCCAAGATATAAAAAGAGAAGAACGATTTAAGAACCATACTGGAAGGCTGTTTTTAAAAAAAATAAACAAATAAAACCAAAACTATTTTAAAAAATCATCAATTTATCCTAGCTATTGCTTTAAAGTAGGTATTTCACTGACCTGAGAAGGCTAAGAATTGACCTTATTTGTTTGTCCTCAAAGGGATCACCTCCAAGCAGTCCCACCCTTAGAAGAATCTGCAGCAGTTCAATTATTTTGCTTTTAGTGTTATGTGTACATTATATAGGTTACATCACAGCTGCTTAGCCTGCAGTGCTTAGAAACTAGCCAGGTGGGACTGGAACATCTGTGCTGCACTCAAACACCACCAGGGACAGCTTCCAACATCTGGTGCCATTTCTGAATTGTCTTATCGCTGCAAGACATTCTGCCCCATCTGCTACTCTCAACTGGGTTAATTAAACTAGAACCATCTCCTTTTTAATAAATGGCTAGCAGTAATAAAAGGAACCATTCACTTTCTAATACATGTGTACTTGTATTTCTTTTTAATGTTATTTTATTGTAGACATTGCCAGGAAGGCAACTGTTCTTCCAAGGGGAAATGTCTTTTCTTGCCGCGTGTGTAGCGTATGATATAGAATACGAGAAGGGAATGCAGGGAGGGTCTCTCTGAATTTTCCACCTTTTCAGGAGGGAGAAGATTTGACTAAAGTCATGATATTTCTTCAACACAAATTCTGAAGTGATCCAAAAAGCATTTTACATGTGTTTATATAGAAGTTTCATACTGACTGCAACCTGAGAATGAAAAAAGTTAAGATGAGCCAGTGAAATATCAAGCTAAAAAACTGTTCTGATCATGTTTACTCTGCCTACTGCAATGAACATTTTCAAATATTTTTTTCATCACACTTATCCTTACAGAGTTCAGAACAGGTTAATGGTTTGAGGGTTTATATCAGACTGAACAACACAGATGACACTCTCAACCACATCCTCAAAAAAAAAATAAAAAAAAAAAAAAAATCAATGTTCTCATGCTACGCCTGTTATCCCTGGGCTGTTAGACAGAGTCTCCAGGGATTAATTTAGTTTTAAGAAGAGAAGTAGGTTCAAACCCAAAATAACCCCTTAACATTTTCAGTCAAGATCTCCTCCACCTCTATTGCCTGTTTTCAAATGAAACTGAGTTCCAGAGAGGTGGCAGAGCTTAACCTGAATACAGAACCTCTTTAAAGAAAGGAACCAGCAGCAAGATTAAAGAACTTCATCTCCAGTAACACCAAAAAATTACTTCCAGCAGGTCTAACCACAGATTCTACATCTTCTCAAACAGATGGATCCTTTATGACAACCAACTATGCCCCTCATACACAAACTGTGTTGCTTTAGCAATGTGTAACCCCCTGCGCCTCACCAACGTCCTTCCACGTCTTTGCACCTGAAAATACACAGGGAAGCAAATTCTGAGTTCCCTGAATTCACATGACTTCCCTGCCAGTTCCTTCACAGGACAGATCAAAGACTGCATCTGACCTTTTCCCTGTGTCTTGTCTGACACTGGGAATGTTCCCACACCCTGTGCTGCAAGGAACAGTGGTCATAACAAGTGACCTGCACGTGAAGGACAGTGCTAATCTTCTCAACATGAGCCATCCTCAAAGATTCCCATGTGAGATCTGTCACTACAAATGAACCTTTTCCATCTGCCTTCCCAGGTCAGCAAAGGGGTTATTTAGCAGGACCAGCTGGTAATATCCCTCCTTTCTCAATACCATTTCTAAATGCTGCTTTGGAAAAAGAAGAAAAAAGGTAGAAAGAACAAAGGCTTAACACAGCAAAGAACCCAATACACTGCAATATGAAAACTGACACAGTTCTGTTTGAAAACACAGGAAGGCTCTATCTGAAGTGGAAACAACTATTCTCAATGTGATTTTACTTTAAAATGTAAATATAGTAACATACACTAACGTATATAAATAAAACCAAAACAGGCTCTAATCTCTTTTCCCATAAGAATTGGATAAAAGTTTCAGTATTGATTTGGGGTAGTTGTTCTGATCCAGGATCTTGAAATTCCGTGGAACTGTGTTCAACTCCAGTGTACAACCAACACTATCTCTATTTCTATTAATAAAATAGAAAATAATGCGTAATAAGTTGTTCCTTAAATTTGGGGGCATTTGTGCATTAAGAAACAGATGTATGAAATTTAATTTTATTTCTTAACCATTCAGAATTTACACATTTCAGAACAGACAAAAATCTATCTACTTTCCCAAAACCACAAATGAACAAAGTTAAACCAGAAATAAAGAAAATACCAAGATAGATCTCTTATCCTAAATAGCCATGACAATTCCTCTCTCCTCCAACAGAGTTTAGATCTAGTTTATATTTTATTAAATACTTAACAGATGTAGCATTTTGGTAGCCTAGCAATGAAAGAAGCTGCAACACACAGAGTGCCCATGATACTGGCTTTGCTCATACATTATAATAAAAACCCTAGTGTGACATGTCAGAGGGGTTCCTGCTACAATACATAACTGGCATAACTCCAGGTACAAGCGAGTAAGAGTGGACTTCACCTATGCATGAATGCAGCCACCTTGCCACACATTTGGCCTCCAACCCCTCTGAACTGCCCTTGTTTGGTACCATCTCCTGTGATTTTTACATTATCTTTAAAACAAAGACTGGAGCTGAGTATCTGTCATCCCCAAGATACACACACACATTTCTACAAACAAAGTGAATGTGATCCCATATATAATAAGAGAATGTATTTGCTTATTTGTAATGGAGAGAATTGACTTGAAAAGTTTCTATCTATAAAAGGGCTCATGCTCATGTTTTATTTGCTATTCAAAGTGATCTTGAAAAAAAGATACTCTACCCACAGTTAACTTTCTCCCAACTGTGCCACTAGACCACCAGTGCACAGAACTCCTTTTTTTATTCCATGCTACCCACAATCAAAAGTGTCAGTATTATGAACCTGTAAGTACAATAACAAGTCATTACAGTTTCAGGTTTTGGAAAGCAAACCACCAAAATCCTGAACTATCAATCCTGCATGCAACGCTTTGAAATTTAACCCACTGCTAGAGAGAAGCTGCATTTTGAGAGCATAAATTCAGTCCACATGGAGGTTCATGAATTCACGATTCAGCTGCATATTTAGAGAGTGAAGGGCTGTGTTTTACAATGAATAATTTAATTTTAAGGTAGCTGTTTCTTTTTGGTATAAGGGTTGAATCAAGCAAGTGCTAAGACAAAATAAGATAAAGAAACTAGTTTGCCATATGCATTAGATGAAAGCTTATATGAAGATGATCCATTTCCAGCTGCCTAACTTTTGAGTTGCACTACAAGAAATGCTTGAATGGAAATGGATTGCACTTGCTTTTAGAGTTAATTATAAATAACTGTATTACAAACACGGTTTCTGACAGACTGATCTGGTAGTTAATCTTTAAGCTGCTAACAGTTATTAGTCTCATGCAATAGCACATACAGCACCTTGCTACAAAAGCTTCTAGACAGCTCTAAGTTTTTTGAGTATTCATTTCTCAATTTGTCTACTACACTACCTATAAAACAACAAACCTTCTCCTCAGGAATGGTTCAAAATATACATTAATAAAACCACAAGGTACCTGTTGAGGCTGGTTGGCTGGCTCCATCAAACAACAGATCAACCAGGTCATTAGATGACTTGCTGCCAGAGGGTACAGAAGCCTGAAGAATAAATCACACAACAGATCTTATCTTGTGATGTCATCATTCATGTTAAAAGACAACAACATTTTCTGGGCCTTTTGAGTACTTTGTATTGGAGACAGTAGATTTGTCTTTGAAGCAAATGATCACTGGCACCTGGCTAAATTTCAAATCAAATAATGACCAGCTAGTGGCTCAGTTGTTTGTTTTTCTCCCAGTAACTGAAGAACTTGATAACTAGTCAATAAGTATGTGGGTTCAGAGAATCCTTCACACTTAGGCCAAGATTTTATCTTTGCTTTCCTGAAGAGAGTAAAACATGGTGATGACTCCATTTAAAAAAATCTGCACCTTAAAGCAATCACAAAAAGGCGTTCTGTAATTAAAATGTTACATCACCTTTGAATACCCCAAATATTTTTTATAAAATAGTTCCTGTAATGGCTGCACCACAAAAAAAAATCCACCTGAAACCAGAACTTGTCTCAGAAGTTAGAAAAAAACCTGTTTCCAAAGTAATGTTGCACTGTGCTCTGCTGCCTCACCTTTGCAGTTGGCTGTGCAGCATGAGTTGCAGCATTCTGTTCTGGGCTTGTTTTATCCCCTGTATAATGTGCTGCTGCTCCCAAGTCAATAGTTTTTGAAGGATTTGCTGTGCGTTTGTGTCTGGTTGTGGTATATTCTGTAGCTTGTGTGATATGAATGTGTTTCGTTGTCACAGTCTCCTCTTCATCTTTAAATTCAGCTTTGGGAGATTTACCTCTTCTTGATTTTTCCTCATCACTGTCACTAGATGCAAAACAAAAGCAAACAGGATACCATTTATGATGGACTTCTCAGTTACTTCAGTGGACATTTGGCTTAAGTCACAAGAGTTTTACTGCTTCTTTCCACATTTGAGAAAGGAAATGTTTTACCCCTACATAATGCATCTACATAACACAGCATTGCACCTACTGTACAAAAGCAATGAAGAAAAGCAAAGTTATTTTGTTAAACATTTAACTGCAAGTCCATGGCAGAGGATAATAGGAAATTAGTGTTTTAATCCAGTACATTTGATTACCTTTTGACAGGAACTCCCCCACACCTTATGTAACAATTCAGCAACAAAACGTTAAGCTGCCAGGTCTGCTCAGAACTTAGACCAAGAGACAGAAAGCAGTGAACCAAACACAGGTACTATCTTTCAGATTTCAATAATTCCATTCTTATTTCAACACATTTCCCCTTCCAGAGAGACAGGCTTTTATATTCTTTAAAATGTTTGTGAAAAAAGCATGTTTACAGAACTATGCAAAGCAATGATACTATTCATTTTCTATCAGAGAACACACATTTATTCTTAAAATAAACAAAAGTGTCACCATTTTAGGCAAAAAACTTTTGTCACTACATAATATTTGTTAAATCTGTTACATTTCCTACTTCTGTATTTTAAGTCTTTCACAAACAAACCAATTGCTCACCCACCAACAGTCAGGTTGCCTGTTATCATCAAGATTAGATTTGTACCTAACAGTGAAAATTGCTGCAGAGAAAGCTTCAATATATTAAGTGTATTTTGAAATAATTCCCTTAATAACATGGTTGAAAGTGGAAGCTTTTTTTATTTTAATAATGCATCAGAAGACTAAAAATGCAAAATTTAAGAAAGGCTGTCCCTTTGTCAGTAGGAATATGACAGGAACTGGAATATACTCTGGAGGGCAGCCTTTGTTCTCTGTTAACAATAGTGGGCTTTTTGGAATACACTGCATGTGTCATTTCCTCTATGCATATGACCTACTCACCACTGGGGATGGCTCAATTCATTAACATCAGTGAATATCAATGCTCACTCTTTTTTTTCAATTTTTATTGTTTTTAAAATAAAAATATCCTAGCTGCTAGCCAACCCAGTGACTCCCGGCATTTGCTTGAGCCTCACAGTGATACGTGAGCTCAAATGGCACCATCTAACCTTGTCCTTCTACAGCACTTCAACCCTGACTTGGAACAGCAGAGAACTGTTTTGGGTCTCTGCAGCCAGTCTACCTACATGCACAAATCCATCAGAGGGGCCCACTAACCACATCTTCCTTTGTGACATCAGGATTTTAACATAGGCCCCTAGAGAAGGCTGATCCACACGTGTGCACATTATTATCACGGTACATACAGCACATCCACCTGAAAACCCTTGGAGGAGTGAGGAATGAAATTGCCATTTAGGGCCAGGTCAAAAGAATCTAAGACCAGGACAACCATAACTAAAAGCCTCTAAAAACCTGCTGACATGCATTTCTTGTCAACATTACAGAGTTTGTCCAGTCCATACAAGTATTCTCTGTGTTGAGGAAGTCATTGACAACCGTCAAAGTCTGATCAATGGAGCTATTGCTACTGAACTGGTAGAGATTCATCTCAGTAATGGAAGAGTTAAACAAAGTGAATCTTTGATGCTCTAAAGCGAAACAACTGTCTAAAAGCTTTTGAGAAAAGAGATAAAATATCTATGCCAGAAAGCAGGACAAATATTACAATACTCAATTTTCTATGACAACTTGTTCTGCTTCCAGACTGTCTCAGGAGGTCTGGTTTTTTATGTTTCTTTAATGGTCAATTAACAAAAAAAGAAGAAGAAACACCACGCATTAATGTTCCCTGTGTGTTTACTGTGTTCAGAAGAGTAAAACTGCAGTGATACATTGGAGAATTGAAGAATGAACTTAATAATAAAAATTATAACTAGTATTGCACCAAATAATTAAAAAAACCCCAACAAACTTCTGGAAAAGAAATACATGGTTGCAACTTCCAGAAACTGAAATATGGATACACATTCTTTTTCTTTGCCTTGAGGTTTTCATGGGGTTTTTTGAACAGCCTTGAGACATTAAAATAGTTTACTGATAGTTTGAGACTGACTGAATGATACCCTGCTACAAAAGTGGCTTCATCCTGGCTCAAACCAGGACACCTTTACATGGAAGCTGCCTTTAAACATGATTGTTGCATCCTTTTATAGGAATACTAAAAGTTTTGTTTCTTTTCCATTATTACCTGCATCAATCTTTCTGAATACTAAAGAAACAAGGATTGATGAAGTTTAAGAACTCCTATGAAAAAGATTTAATTTTTCAAAAGAACCTCTGTACATCTGCAGGTAATTTATGAAATAAAACTTCAGCACACAAGCTTAGACTCAAGGCAGCAACTGCTTTATTTGCCTAAGACCTAAGAAGGATTATGAAAGAAAACTGAAGGTTTTCCACCCTGTGGGGTATGGTTTCCGGTTTGCTCTACTTTCGAGGGATGTATTACTGGAAAAAGAATCTAATCCCCCCCCAGCAGTACTAGCATTTTTCTTCTAAACAACAACAACAAAAAAAGAAGACTAGGCTCCTCCAGAGCTAGCTGAGTGAGCTGCAGCTGCACTGAAATCTACTGTAAACCCAAGCCAACCACATCACAGGTTCTTAGTTACTTAAAGCATTTTTTTTTTCCTTCTAAGAAAACTACAAATTTTAAAAGTATCTGAAATCCAGAAGCTTGGCCAAGTTCTGGTGTTTATATTGGAGGTAAAGTTTTGCGTCAATCAAGTTCCATTAACCACTGTGAAGATGTGTAACTCATGTATTCTTTGTGCTTTAGGACCTTTATTGACTTTACAGTATGAAAGTAATAATGATTTATAAAGCCATTAAGATAGAAACAATAGAACACACAACAGCAGATTTGCCAGCTGAGCAAGTATCACCATTTAACCACTTTTCCAAGGGAAATGGCAAGTTAACTCAATGTCATTATATAGCAGCAGGCTACAAATAAGCTAGAACATTTTTGGAGGCTTCTTTGTTTTTAGAATAAAAATTCGCTGAAGTGTGAAAACACAGAAATGCATGGATTTCACCAAGCATTTACAAGAGCTTAAGTCACATGAAAATTGAAAGTCCATGTTTCTAGTCTGTTTCAATATTTAACTTCATGCAAAATACAGTATTCTGTTCATATAACATGAATAACAAGGTTTGTATTTACAGTATCTCTAAGTATAAACAGACAGACATTCTAAGACCTCGAGTTCAGTCTTCTCAGACCCTTTGATGCCTCCTGTGGAAAGAAATCCCTTCATTTCAACACTGATAAAATACATTCCAAAAGGAAACTTCAGGCTAGCAGCTGAAGCAATGTTAGAGAAGCCATGCTGCTGCAACCTGGCTTCCTTCTTACAGCAGGACAACCAGCAGCTACCAAATTGGTTTTGTTCATGTATGTCCCAAAAAATCCTCCTCTTTTTTCAAGTCCTGAGTTTATTTTTTAAAATTGTCAAGACATATACCACACCCCCCAAAATGGAAAAAAAAAATATATATATTAAAAAGGAGGGCCAGGGGTTACCAGACCAAACTGAAAATGAAAAATGCAGTCTTAGCCAGAGAAAAGGAGGGGTGTACCTTGGGGTAGAGATGTACAGTGGATAAGTCCTCAAAATAAGCTGCTTTTTATAAAGATTAGACTGCAGAGAAGTCTGTCTAAAACACTGGAACATGCAAGATGTTTTCTATCAGCACGAGACCAGGAACCATTCAGAAATAAAGTGAAGGAAATAAGATAAAAAATTGTTTACTGTACATCCTCCACATGAAATGTGGACAGAGAGCTTTAGAGATGATGTGTGGCAAGCTGCTTTTGAAAGGTAAGTACAGAAATGCACACAGCAATATACCATTGTTCAATCTGAAATTGTTTCCTTTTCTTCTGATCCCATCTCTTTGTAGTTTATTGATAGGAAGTTCTAAGAGGGAACCCTGATGTGTGCAAAGAATATCAGTTTTATGATTTATTAATGCCTTGGCCAAGAGGACTATACTGCCTTTTTCTCAGAAATGTTACCATTATAATTTTATTTTTTTCCCATGCAAAATTGCTTGAATTTCATAATACAGACACAAGTTTGCAAGTGCATGTTTGGCCTTTATTCACACATATGTAAGACTATGTGTGAATGTATCCAAATATATTCCTATAAAAAACAATTATCAAATCTCAGTGCAAATTCGAATTTTAAGTTGTTTCCCAAATGGGAATTATTTCAATATACTCAAGCACTTTCTCTGCAGCAATTTCACATTCTGTTAAGTATGAATTTGATCTCTAGATAATGAAATTCAATCCACCTGTTGAAGTGTAATGCATTTAAAGTTCTTTCTGTAGGCAAAGGAGAGTAGATTTTCTTCCTTACTGGAAAAAAATTAATGGCCAAATGTAAAATACAGTACGTTTCTTGAAAAGGTTCAAGTGAAATGGAAAAAGTCAATATTTTCTTTTTTAAATACTGTAATAAGTCACCTGCAGTCTGTTCTTCCTGAGATCAGCTCAGGGAAGAAGCACCATGTCAAAGAAGGTCTAAGGAATTTTACATCTTTGGCACTTCAGCATTCAGAGTAACTGTAGCATTAAATGGCAGCCTCCAGTATATCCTGGTGCATGGAAGGCCACTGAATTGTTGAGACAAGGAAAAGCTTAAGAAATTTCAGCCAAATTCTCTGCTTTGCTAGCAGCTATCCAAGCTAGTAATAAAGGCAGCAGTTAACTATTGATAGAGGTACATTATTTCACAAAATGAGCAGGAGCTGCTTAAGAAGTCCAGGAATGAACACAAACATGCTTCCATACAGACAAAAAGAATGGCCGAGTATTGGAACTAATAACCAGCAATGTCCAAGAGCTTCATAATAACAATTTCACAATATGAACTCATGATAAAATTACTCCAGTACCTGCACCTTTCTGGAGAGTCCTCTCTATCTTTCCTTCGGAACTTGCTGATGGTATCATCAATGGTGCTTCCAATTTTGTCACTCAGCTCACCTAACTTATCGCTGAATGGAAAAGCTGTTTTTTTATCCCATTCTTCATCCCATTTTGACTTGGGCTCAGGATCGTATCTTTCACCTGTGTAAGGCATTAAGATAAGACACATTAAAGATAACAGAAAAAAACCCAACATGCTTGTGGTCTTTTTGGAATCACTCCCAAGCCCCCCTGCCCTACATATGTAAACCTTAGAAGTTTCAAAGCAAACTGACAGCTCCCAGAGTGCTGAACCAACACTATTCCAGGAAGGCACAGCATGTCATGCCAATCATTAAGTGGCACGAATGAAGATTCAAAGACTTTTGTTTATAACAATGACACAATCTGAAGGCACTGCACAGCATATCAGGATACTGCAGGACTCTGCTTGAGAAGCGCAAGAAGCACAATCAACCCTGGCTGAATACACAGCTTATCAGAAACGGGATGTGCCAGTCCCATAACAGCTACTTAATGCATGATATTCCATTCTTGGCCAAGCTCTGTGCTCAAAGGTAAATCAGTGGGGTTTTATACACTGACATTCATGAACATATAAAAGTGAAGTACCAAAATATTGAAAGAGCCAAGTGTGTAATGTATGATAACTTTCCGTTCTCTCTCCTACATGATTGAAAAAATCTTTAAAGAGATGGAGAAAAGAACAGGCAGTAAAGCAATTCCCCTCTTCAGCAGCCTCTGAGTACCCTAAATGTCTTTACTAAATACTACTATCAGGAAATCAAAAGCATTTTTCTTCTAATCAAGTATTCAAGACCTCCATACTGGTATCTTGGCTTACAAACAGCTGACAGTTTTACCTGAAATAAGGATGTTTTCTGTACAATCTCATGAAGAATGTTTAAAAATCTTAAGTCCAGGTTTAATTACACACACCTAATCAACCTGAGTTTAATTTAAAAGAAAAAACCTCATTTTAACAAAGGCTTAACTAACAGAGGCATAGCTCACTTTGCTAACTTGTACATTGATCTTATTTCAAACCCAGGTATACAAAACAACCCAATATAGCTCACTTTCTAGACAACAATTTTAGACAAACATCTTAAAGTTTGGGCCATCTGTAACAAGGAATTTTTTTTACTAATGAAAAATGTGAAACACTAGTTAATTTTTTTTAATTAAGCCAAGTAAAACTGAGTAGCAGAGGGGAAGGATGATGAAAATTCATTACTTCAAGTTATATACACATTATATTGTAGTTCAAGTAAAATTCAAGATTTAATTGAGCCATTTTTAAGAAAAAGAAAATTATGGATCCTACAAGGTACAAGATTTGAGTTACATCTGCCTGTTAATGCCATATACCACCAGATATATTTTCTTACTGAAGGGGTAAGCACAAGGCTACAATACTTATTTAGACTCAAAGTGTAGACAAACTTTTTCAAAGTAGAAAACCTGTTACAATCAGCAAAATACTCAGTGAGATCTTTATCATTGGAAAAGGAGAAGCTGCTAAGAAATATACCACTGTTAAATTTTGCAGGAGAATAAAATGGCTTTATTTCAATTTTTGTCAGGCTCTCCAGCATTTTAATGTAGATTCCATTAGAAGGTTTCATTGTGTGATAGGAATTTAAAAATAAATTCTAAAAAACCCAATACAAGCATTTTATATTTAAATAACTAGAATCTCTTAAATTTGAAGACTGATTTGGGAAAAAGTTTGTTTTGTGCTGCTAGAATTTATTTTTTTTTTACATTACTCAAATGAAGGGATAATTAAAAGTCCTTTACTATAAAAAGTAATTGAAGACAAAAGAGACTGTTCTTTAAAATAAAAAACCTGAATGATAACTGAAGAGCATATGAAGAAAGACTTCTACCCAGCACATAGGATAGATCATGACTCAGTAGAGAACAAGTCAAAAGATAAGCTCAGTGAAAGAACAGAGGGACATGTACTGTAAGTAGCAATGCAGTGACTCATAAATATTTCCTAAAAAGAGAATCACCAGAATTCCAAGCAGGTAGCAAAAGCCTAAAAGAATATAATAAAACAAGACATATTCTGCCATGGAGACAGAGATTTTCATCTACTCCACAAATGAGGAAAAGGAGAACATAAGTAAGTAGCCTCTCAGAAACAGAAGAGAATAAACCTAAATTTAAGGCTCACAGTGAAGTAAAAATGCATACATAGCACCAGAGAGGGGCAGGCGAAGTTTAAGTCCTGTACTGTTACAACTTAGATGTTATATCCAAACCCTTCTTTCAGAGAAGTCACTGACCCTAGCAAACCAGAGCCTTGTGCTTGTGACTTGGGGACTCATCCCTCAATAAAGGCAGCCACGGATTTACTCAGGCCAAAGAACAAACAGATAAATATCTCAAGACTGACAGCTGGATCATGGACAACATGCAGGAATACATCAGACATAAAAGTCAGTTCAAGCTCAGATCCCTGTTACACATTATGGCAGGGACTGGGGAGCAAAGATGAAGCTGCACACTTGGACTTTTTAAGCAGAACCCAGCACTGGCTATGGGCCCTTAGCCCGGGCTGCCAGACAGAACTGTGTTCTCTCAAAGCAAAAACAAGCTGATGATATTATATTCTCCAACACCAGGATCTACCAAACACTATGGTGAAGATGCAAATAGTCTGACAAAACACAATGCTCACATGAACAACATCCGTTGCCTCAGCAAAGTGGGTGAATTTATTTTCAGAAGGGTAATGACCTACCTGTCCACAGCATTCTGATGCTTTTTTTTCCTTTGTGTTTTTTGTTTTGTGTGTATGTCTAAGCAAAGGACCTTAGTAATGAAGGTCCTGTTGCAAATACCAGACCCAGGCTGGATACAGGACTGGCACCTTGTGCAATGACAGCTGAGATTTGCAGTCACTGTATTCTTTAATATTTGGAGTTTTGATTATTTTTTTTTAATCTGATGGCAGGTCTTCTGGTTTTTTATGAGGAAGCAGATGACCAAGTGACCCTTCACATACGTTTTTTATAAAATATTTAATATGTATATTTAAAAAGTAATTTTTTAAAAACCAAAAAGTTTATAAATAACTTCCTGGTGTTACTTATGAGCTTTTCACTGGCAGCTGCAATTCCCTGGGGCTTAGGGATGAGCACTGTTACACCACATTTCCAGCCTGCAGACAGGTCTGCTGTGGTGTGCAACCAACTGCCAGCTGCAAGCTTAGTACGTCCACACAAAGATAAAGTGCATTTGTTTACACAAAATAAATTTGGTATTGCTTCTGGGAGTCCTCCTTCAAAAAGCACACGGAACCTATAGTACTAACCAAACAGTATTTTAAACACACACAAACAGAAAGCAACAACTGTATTGGTAAACTCTGAAATATAATCTCCATCTCTCACAGGCACTTTTGTAAAGTCAAACCTGACAGACTTCAGAATCCACAAAGATAATCCACAGATATGTAGTGTCCAAATAGTATTACTTGGGAACCCAAAAAAATCTAATGGCATATAATAGCTACATTGTTTCACCCAAAAGGTATTACTGCCCTGAAAGCCCTAGTCCAAATCAATTGATGGTTCTAAAGGAGGTTGACAGGAGTAGGTGAAGCAATTCTTGGGCTGTGGTGGAAAGTATCCCCACTTTTTTTTTTAACCTTTTTTTTTTTTTTTTTTAAATTGAAGACTAAACCTCTGACTTACAAAGGCATTTGTCTGTCTGCTTCTGCTGCAGCAGCATTTGTTTCACAACAACACTATCCACAGAAAAACAACACAGCTTAGTTTTGGCTAAATCAAAGCAGTAATATAATTTGCATAAGCTCCTAGTTAGTTATTATCTAAAAAAGACTAAAGATTTTTTAAGTAATTAATTTAAATTTGTATGTGGGGGAAAACATGCAAGATCTTTTATCATAGAAATACAGTTAAACAAATAGAAAGAAAGAGCATCTAAAGGAGCATCTTAGAAATTCCTAAAGTTATCTCTGTTATTTCTGCCAAGTTAGAAGTCAAGACTGTTAATCCTTGGCCAAGAAAGCCTAGTACTCACTGTATCTAAACCCTCCAACACTGTCCGAGGAAACCCCAATGTATTTGTCTTTGTTCTTCTTTGCTTTCTTCCTCTCTTCCCGAAGTCGATCATCATCTTGAGCAAATTCAACCATTTCTTTTACCTTCTGGCGTATATTTATACCTTGGTCTTTGCCATTTTCATCTGTACAGGTAATGCAGGATAGACACAATGGGTGGAAGAGGGGGGAAAAGGAAAAATAAATCAGAGGCAGCAATATTGGACATCAAACTAGTAAGGAAATTCTGATTATGAACTTAGCAGTCAGAGAAAGATCTGCTGGCTATTGAAGTCCACTGCTTTTGTTTAAAAGGGACCAAATATTTTGCTTCAACACAAATTTTAATTCTTAGATAAATTATAGTTTTCACTGAATGGCATATTTAGAAACACCTCACTGCTGCTGAAACACTGAAAGGATTAACAAAGACTGAGAAATTGTATTATCCTCTTGAACAATTGTAACCCTTCCAAATATAACCCCTTTTCCTCAGGCTTTTTAAGTACAGGTTTTGCAAGTTTAATTGCAAGAACTCAGTCTTACTGCAAAACTGAATTTCTGAGAAATTCCTTTCATTTGGGATGTACTACAAGCTAAACGTGCTCCTTTGCCAGCCTTTTTCACATTCAAAACACACACTGGCCTTGCTGCCTTTGCACTGTAAATATTATTTGGTAGGAGGAAAAAATCCCAGCTTCAAACAGATGTGTGTGTTTTGGAGCTCTAACCTTTTCTTCCCATATGATTAAAGCTATTCCTTTACGGACACCACAGGGGACCAGTCTCTGGTGCATATTTTAATATAAACCCGAACACTCATGTTGTGTTGGTTCTGTTGTTATTAGCCAGTCTTTTCTGCAAGTTCTTGTCTTCACTAATTAATACTCTAGGGTCCCACGTCTTGGATTCTGCACTCTTCACACAACTGGCAACAGTCACATTCTAATTAGAGTGGGGAAGCTTCTAAGCTGGTTCAGGTGACTGACAACTCCAACTACTGTTTTAATTTGCTTATAAGATTTTTCTATTGCTCACCTACAAAGTGGTAATTTTCCAGGGATCGCAAATCATAAATGTGTTCTCTGGCACTTGTAACAACACGCTCTGATCCATTCCTTATGAGGTAAGCTAGGAGCAGCAAAGACTATAAAAACACAAAGCACTTTATGATTGCATGAACAAAAGCTCTTATTTTTTTCTTTCAAAAACAAAACCTACCTCCCTCTCCAAATTAGTAAGTAATAAGACTTTCCTTCTTAAAATAAACACTTACTATATGGGTTCACATTGAAAAAAACCTCAGCATTTTCCCCACATGCACCTTTGGCTCTCTAGAATATCAAAACTGCATCTGTCAAATTCTAATTTGTCTTTACTAAATCACAAGTAGTTATGTTCATCAGTTACTGCTTATTTTAAAAGACAGCACTAGCCATTTAAGATTAAAAAGTTAAGCCTGCTAAGTGAAGCAGTTTCTTTTTGCCTCTTTTGTTCACAATTTTCCAACGGTTTTCACTGAAAAAGAACTACTGCAGAAATAGAAGTAGCCTTCTGCAGGATGCAGTGGATGTACAAAACTGCATTTCAGGACAATTTTAAGCAAGGGGCAAAAAAATGCATTAAAACAGTATTTAATCATAATTTTTTTATGTTGAGTCTTTTTAGCTAGAAAAAAATTAATGCACTTTATCCAAAGTAGCACCTTTATCAGCTAAAGCTATGTGTATTTCAACCTACCCAAACCTGATAAGCAATTCCAACCAGTCTATATAACATTAAGTAGTTATGTGTGATAGCATTAAATATTAATTTATATAGTACTTCAGGGAAAACAATTACTATGAATACAAAACATCAAGCACCTGTGAAAAGCACAAACCATGCCTTAGAACTAATTCTGTCTTGTTACAATCCTGGCATCAAGAAAGACAAAATATAAGATAGTCTAATACATCAGTTCTAAAAAATTAGGTTATATTTGCATAGTTCAGTGAACACTGAACATCACTTTAAATGCAGTACGATATAATCTTAAGCAAAAAGTTTCTGTAACATGCTAATTAATCAAAGACAAGAAAAATGCAAATTATTCAGCTCTTTTTCCAAAATGCAAGTAGGACATAAAAGCCTCATATGACAAGATCTGCAAGAAAATTTCATCCAGTCAAAGCTAAAGTGCAATTTTTAGAGAATTATGAATTGGTAGAAAACTAAGATCAGTTTCCATTTATTTCAGGTATTACTTGGTTCCTTCAAAAACATTTTCCTGACAGGAAAATAACTTATCTACTTCTCATGGAGCACCATAACAACTCCTTTGGGTAGATTCAAAATATGAATACTACTCCAACACTTGAATATCAGCAAAACATAACTGTTCTGCTACGTTTGTTAAGTAGCATCTTAGATACACTTCTAAAACCAGATAGGTTTTTCCATATACAGCATTTGAAAGACAGACTTAACTTCAGCAACAGAATTATAAACCATAGATTTAAGAAAGAAATTTTAAGTTGCTAGTCCAGTAAGTGATATAACAGCACCTAAATAAGACACTATAGCAGAAAACTGTAGTGGCAACAAGCATAAAGTCCTTTGTAGACCAAGTCTTGAACACTTCCAGTTCAGATACATACACACCTTATAAACTCTCCTCCAGTTCTTTTTATTGTCTTTCAGCATTCGTGTCCAAAGCATGTTCATAAGTTCTGGAAACTGTTCATACATAAACGTAGCCCTAAAGAATTAAACAAAAGGAGTCAAGAAATTTAATTCTGTGGTTTCCCACAGCAGCTTGTTGAGACTCAGAGCTGACAGTAGATGGCAGGCTTGATCTAAGCCCGTTCACATTAGATGCCATTACAAGGGAAAAACTATCCTTACTTCTTACCCATATAGAAGTAATTTACATACCAATACTACAAAAGAAAAACAGTAATTCTAAAAATCTGAGGCAGTAAAAGAACCTTCGCTAATTTATAAAGAAAATGTGTAACAAATACTGTAATAACCATACAACTAATTAAACGTGCAACTAATTTTAACAGAAAACATAGCTCAAGGAAAACTTTGACATGTTTTGCTCTATTTGGAAAAGTCACAAGGAAGCAGTTTGAAAAGAAACACTGCAAAAAAGTCAGATATATTAAAAGACTGATGAGGTTACATAAATAAAAAAAGAATTTAAAAAATAATTTCATTTTGTGTTTGACAGTTTTCAATATATTATAAGATTATGCATCAAAAAAATAAGACTTGATTTACAGCAACTTCTCAGCGTCATCAGTCAGCATACCAAAGAGTTGATTTAGCAGCAAGCTTCACATTCCTGTATAAAATGCACCTTTCCTTTCTTCATCACTGAGCCAAATTATCACTTACTTGGCAATCTCTCCCATGAGTTGCCCTGAAGGTCCCCACGGATCATCATTGGTTGCTTCTCGAACCTTAGATTCAATTTCTGAATAATTCATAACCACATTGGTGCTGCAAAGGAAAAAAATTAACACACATGAAGATTAGCATCAAAACTGAGAAACACATGAAAACTTAATAATGACACTAGTGCATATCTCACTTAACGAGATTCCACTACAGGGTGGGAAAGGGAACATCTTTAGTGCAGAAGTTACCCTAAGGACGCTATAGAACACATTTATCTCTAAGAAGGTTTCACTATTCTATTAGTCTTCAAGAATATAGATGAGAAAATAGGGATTACATTACAGCTGGATTCAGTCCAGTAAAAACGGCTTTTCGTCAAATTAAAATCCAAACAGAAGCAATAGAGTCAAAGCTGATAGCCTCCCCAGATAGATATGGTTTGCTTACAGGTTTGGATGGTGTTTTGTTACTTGCTTTATAACTCAGTCAGAAGCAGATTTATTTTGATGGTAAGTGCTACAAGAGAAACTCAGGAGTATCAGTACCAAATAGGTGTGAGTAAATAAAAAAAGAACACAGAAGACTGAAGTAAGGGAGATGAGATTCACTACAAAGTCTGTTTTGTGGCTTGAATTTATGTAATTAAGGGAAAACAGCAAAACAAGTAAAGCTGCAGAGAACTCTGTATTATGATTAAAGAAACGCAAATACTATAAGGAGCTCAGGCTGTCTCAATGACAGTGCACAGAAAAACAACTTGGAAAAAGTGAGTGATTTTTCCATATTGGTTGTATTAAAATAGTCAATTTAAAAATATTTTTTTTTACCTAATCTCAAAGTGGTCATGTCCAACTGTAAGCCCAGCAACCTCCTTTGTGCCCCTAAGAGCTTCCAGACATATCTGATAACACAATTATTTTCCTTATATTTGAAAAATAGCTCTCTAGTTATGAAGCATAATAGCCCACAACAGTAATGAAAACATCAGTAAAAGGAAGGGCTAGTGGCCTCTGCTCTCTCCATACATTGCTTGCACCTATGTGTTTAAACCTGAAAGTTTTCTTAACTGTTAAAAGTACATCATACTTGTTTCAGAAGAAAAAAGATGACTGCATTCAACATAAAGCATCCCCATAAAGTCAAAATGATTAAGCTGTTGAAAATATGTAATGATTTTATAATTCAATGTGGAAAAGGCAATTGCTATGTAAAAACCTCATGTGAATCTAAGAAAGAAAAAAACCCAACAAAACAAAACAAACAAACAAAAAAATCAAGATGCTTAATAGTCATCCCTCTGTCCATGAGGGAGTTGGCATAAAGCAGCATTTAAGCAACACGCATTCAATTTTGTTTGGCATAAGGATAGGAGAGATCTTGGAACTGGGAGTTATAAACAGCAGAAACAAGAATGAGATCCCCTTAAGTCTGAAAGGGGACACAGAAGGTAATTGTTAAAACAGAATAAAATTCCTGGACTTAATCTTGGATTCTCAGCATGAGAATTCCTGCTTTTTCTGATGTATTTTTATTCAACTTTGTGTCTAAAGAGAGCATAAGCTACATGACTGAATAAATAATCAGCAAGCTAACAGAATCCATCTATATTAAAAAAAAAAAAAGCATGTAGGAACACAATTGTAGTTTTTTTGAGCAAGAGCAATTAGGGTTTTATAAATTCATTTATGCTAAATGCACCTCAAGCTTCTGTTTCTGACATTTTCTTTACCATACATACAAATGTAAACTAATACCATCTTTATTTCCCATATGCATGAAACGTTAAAAAAAAAAACAACAAAAAACCAACACAAAACTACCACAGCCCCCAAAAGCTACAAGCTTCAGCCCTTTCCAGCTTTCAGCACACTAGTCCCCTTGTCCGAAGCAAGGAAAGGCAGGGAGCTGAATGGAAAGGTTCTGTTTGTTTTTATAACCCCTCCTTAAGCGTTTGAGAGGCTTGATGGGGAGGTGGGGGTAAGCACAAAGTGAAGCATTTCCTTAATTTCTCAGGGCAACGGATTTAAGATTGGAAATTGCATGAAAAGATGCACACTTACTGGAAGGAAAAAATAAAATTATATAATGCCAGCATTAGCTATGGAAGAACTCAAAGCACATGGCTAAACAGCATTAGAGTTGAAAGGGGGAAACGGAAGGGAAACAAGGGAAATTAAGTAATGCCAAAAGAAAGAAGGTGCAGCTATATCCCTCTGAGACACATACTCTTTCTAAAATCATCCTGCAGTAAAGTTATTGTTCTCAGCAACTAGGAGAAAGCTCTTTTATAAATGCCAAGATGAGGTCTAAATGGCAAAAAGCCTTCCAAAACACAGCATCTTTAAGCTGCATTTAATTCAGCAACAAATGTAAACTTCAAGGAAAAAAAAACAACACCAAGCTGTTGTATAGTTTGGCATGTTTCCAGGTCACTTTAAAAATAACCATTTCTAAAAAGGTGGAAATACAGTTTTATTCTTCCTTTCCCATGTTTTCTATGGCCCTCGTTCCATGTCCTACCCATGATTCCTGTGACCTTTGCAACAAAAAAATAATTTACGTCCAGATGTGAAGGGAAAAAGTGACTAGCTTGATTGCCAAGACTTCCTGTGATTGATATAAATTTAATATCCGAGGACACTTTCAGACACCAGGGGGGGCTCGCTGATTAGTTTATACTGGGCAGCTTCCAGGGAATCGTGCTGGATCGCATGGGCGCAGTCTGCTTTGCAAACAAATGGACACATAACAGTCAAGACTGACAAAGTATCTTTGCAGACAATATTTAAAATAGCCTATTATCTGCAAGACTGCCTTTGGATTTACCCCAGATAGTTAAACGAAACCCTGCACAACTGGAATCTTGCAACAAAAGCAAGACATTTACAGAAACTTTTGACATGGACGAAGACATTAAACACATGAGGCACATTTTGAAAGTTACATCCAAAAACAAAGGCACACCAAATAAATACATAAATGGGTTGACATTAACATTACAAACTGTTGCATTCTTTTCTGTTTGTCTTGCAGTTCAGCCTATTAAATCATACACTAGTGTCAACAGATGATTTTTACTCTTTATTGTACCTCTTAAAATTTATTTGTCTTTTTTTTCTTTTTAAAAACAACTGTTAAGAGAAGCCAAGAGAGGGCACTGTCACATCTCTGTGAAGTAATAAGCATGATGGTGAAAAAAATGTTAGCTTTTCATTCTTGCAAGAGAACAGTCAATTTTAAATGTTTATATCTACAATTTATAGCAACACTGAATGGGTACCTCAAATCTGAGACTAAACACATGAATAAATGGACATTGCTAGTGAAAAGGCAGTGGGTAATAGCTATAAATATCTGATCACCTTCAACTGTACCACAGAAAAAGACATACTTAAATATATTAGTTAAAAGATTCACATGCATTTTATAAACTATTTTAACTTACTTTCAAACTTAATAGATATATCATAGATTAAATACCCCCAAAATATTACTTCATCCACAATTTTGTCCACATTTTTGAAGAGAAATTATTTAAAGGATTCAACCAATTGTAAATAGCTTTAAACTTTGTCCCAAATTACATTTTGAGATTTGTTAATTGAGATAAAGCTGTCATCTGGATCTAGGTGCCAAAACCTATTGTGTGCCAAAAAAACCCAGCATATAAGCAAGAACGAGAAAGGAGAGGGGATGTGAGGGGCAAGAGAAAATAGCCACAAAACAAATACTGAAAAAGAAAGCTTTCCTCTTCCAGACTAAGGAAAAAAAAAATAAAAATCACTTTTATGCCGGGAAAAGAACTTTATTTCAACCCAACATTCTACTGAAAGCTAAATAATCACAACTTCATGAATTGTTTGTCTCAGAGTTTTCCTTGTTCAGGACTACAAGGTGTTCTCTACAGATTCATATGCTGTAGCTGAAGTCAGCTCAATTATATGTTCGGAGATTATCATCACTTACAAAATATTACGCAACTATGCAGCTTCTAGTAATAGCTTCCAATTGGTGACATTACAACCAGGTTTGTTGTGCCTGATGTAATTATCCCACATCAATCTCTGCTGGTTCCACTCTGGAAAAAAAAAAAAAATTCCCAATCCTAAATCTCTATCACATCCCTTGAACCAGGAACACTTGGCAAACACGGATGCAGAAACACAAGGTTCTTAACATAGCAGCAGAAATGGAAGGAGTCTATTTTCTCATCTAATCTCTACTATAAAATTAACCACTAAACTGTAAGGTTAACCCTCAAACAACATTTCGTAACAGTTATTTACATATGCTACCTGCAAAACGCTAAAGAAAAAGGTGAAACAATTTTTGTTCACCATAATTCAACACTTCATTTAGAACCTGGACGCAGCATATAACACTAGGAAGAGTAAATATAAATAGTTCAATGCTCACAGTCTTCCAAAAGACCACCACATGGCTGGATATTTCTACTTTGTGCTCCCTAGCATCTCCTACACCTTCCAGACTTTTTCCATGATCAGTGGTGTTCTGTTCCCTCATCACCCTGACAATATATTCAAGTGCATGAAGCCACAACTCAGAGGAAGCTTACAGTTCACTGCTAGATTTTGGGAGCAATGTTCTCTTGAAGGAAGTATTCCTAACATAAGTGTAGGAGTAGAGGGCTACATCTCAGAGTTTCTGATCTTCAAACAACATGTCATCTAAGTATTTCATATTAATGCTCAAATAGCCGCAGAATCTTAAAACACACAGAAACCTTAAAATAGCATGTGCATAGAAAACCCACAATAGAGAAAACCAAGTATTCATACACTAAAGGTATCAAAATAATAATAAAGAAACATCCATTCATTCAGAATGCAATTTACATTGAAACATATTAAGGAATCAGAAAGCCTAACACATCTTAGTCAATGTTTCTGTGCTAACTTAAAAGCCTTTAACATGCCCTCGAGCAAGAGTCAGACCACTCCATTAAAAGCACCATAAGGATTAGGGTTACTATTGATGTGGGTGGTGTCACTGAGGACACAAGTACAATTCTGGACATTAGATCCACAGAAGATTTGCAAAATGCCATTTCTAATCTTAGGAAAACTAGAATAAAC